ATGTGAGAATAAAATAAAATATTATATAAAATCTATGTGAGGAATACTGGCACATATTCAGTTTTGTGTATATGTGTACCTTTGAAAAGACAAATGGATGCCTGGCAAGTCCAGTGAATTAATTAAATTTCAAGTTCATATTTGAAACTTTCTCTGAGACTATAAACCATGATGGAATCATGGGTGGTGTGATGGTTAGTTTTGTATGTCAGTGTGGCTAGGCAATGATGCCCTGTTGTTTGGTCAAAGACTAGTCTAGATGCTGTTACAAAGTAGTTACATGTGATTAAGTCAGTTGACGTTAATTAAGTAAAGCAGATTACCCTCCATAATGTGAGCGGGCCTCATTCAATCAGTTGAAGGCCCTAAGAGCAAAAGGGGAGTTTTCCTTAGGGTATCTTCCACCTCCAGGCTACAAACAGACATTTTGCCAAACTCTTCACTCTTCATTCTTCCCATCACCTGACCTACAGATTTCAGGACACAGGACTGCAGGAATCCCCAGCCTGTCACCAAACCTACAGATTTTGGACTTGACAGCCCCTCACAATCATATGAGCCAATGCCTTAAAATAAATTTCTCTCTTTAAAGAGATAGGGAGAGAAAAAGAGAGAGATCTATACATCTTACTGGTTCTGTTTCTCTAGAGAACCCTAACCAAGATTAGTGAGGTATGACAGAAGGTATCATAACCTTGTACATTTTATAGTGTTAGCATAAGTATATATTTTATTTTACCTGACTAATTTCTTACATAAGGAGCCGTGGTGGCACAAACAGTTAAATGCTTGGCTGCTAACCAAAAGGCTGGCAGTTTGAACTCACCCAGTGGCTCTTCAGAAGAAAGACCTGACGATCTGCTCCTGTAAAGATTATACCAAGAAAACCCTATGGGGCAGTTCTATTCTGTCACATGGGGTCACTATGAGTCTAAAACAACTTGATGGCACTTAACAACAACAAGTTTTTTACATACTTTATTAAAGCAAAATTCAGGGAAAACGAGTTACCTGGCTAGCTTGAAGATGAGCCTTCCCAACGTACTGAAAGATGTTCAGGTTACTTCTCCTTAGGATACCAGAACCAGAGTAAAGAATATCAAGGCTATATGTAGATGCCGAATGGGGATCACCTAATAACAAGAAAATCAACAACTATCACTTAGTAAAGCTTCAACAGTACCAAGCTGGGTTGGGGCATGGAAGCAGAATCATTTTTTGGGTTACATACGTGCTATGTAGCCAGTATAGGCAGAAGAGGACCCACTTTTAGAGAAACGGTCATAATTGTGAACAACCATTTCCTTCAGAACTCGGCGAACAATTTTGCTGCAACATATAAAAAGAGAAAGCTTCACATTCATTGTAATGACTGTTTTTCAAGTCAGATTTGGAAAAATACCAAATCCTCAACGGAAAAAAGAGGGAGCCAAATTTTCCTCATGCCACATCACGATGGAGAAAGTGCCAGGTGGAGCTTCAAGATCAGGGCTTTCCCCTTCATTCCTTAGATATTTGGAATTTAATGTGGTATCAAAATGAAAGCAAGGCAGGGATGCCCAGCTATAAGATGGCTTAAGCTGACTGATGGACATACCTCAGGAGTAGAAAAGATATTTTATTTGAATCATCATGGTCCTATTGTTAAATACCGTATACTTTTAAGGAAAGATGTACCAAAGCGAGGAGGTTGTATAATATTTCTTTATGTATGCCCACTAATGTTATTGCTGGCTAATGATATATAACAATAAATTTCCAGGAATTTTTTCTATATTTATGTACTTTTCAAATAAACATCTCACTAAAATCCATAGGGAAGAAAGGCCTGGCAATCTACTTCTGAAAATCAGCCAGTGGAAACTCTATGGATCACAACGGTCCAACCCACAACTAATCATGGGAATGGTGCAGGACTGGGCAGCATTTTGTTTCATTGTGCACGGGGTTGCCATCAGTTGGAGGCCAATGGGCAACAGCTAACAATAACAACAAAAACCCATATATGAACCACTGTCTCCTCTATACCTGACTCGTTGTCATCGAGTAGATTCTGACTGACAGGGACCCTATAGGACAGAGTAGAACTGTCCCATAGGGTTTCCAAGGAGCAGCTGGTGGATTCAAACTGCCAACCTTCTGGTTAGCAGCCAAACTCTTAACCACCACGCCACTAGGGCTCCGTCTCCTCTATAGTCAGTCTTAATTTTTACCTGTGCCTCTATTTTGTCCACCTAATTAGTGTTGAGATGTTTCTATTTCTGACTAAACAAAAAAACCAAACCAAACCAGTTGCCAGAGAGTTGATTCTGACTCATAGCGACCCTACAGGACAGAGTAGAACTGTCCCATAGAGTTTCCAAGCAGTGCCTGGTGGGATTCGAACTGCCCTTTTGGTTAGCAGCTGTAGCACTTAACCTCTACACCACCATGGTTTCCTATTTCTGACTACTTAATGCTAAATATAATAGTAATAATAAAATTATGACAACAAGCCAAAAATATCAAAATAATCAACTAAAAGACTCTGAATCTAGGTCTGAGGTAGAAAATTATTGAGAGGGAGGGAATGGTAGCCTCATAGGTTTTTTCCCCAAAATCACTAGGTTACAAGATTTCTGCTTGGAGAAGAAAAGATGAAAAGGGTCATAATAGCTGTCCTCAAATATTCAAAAAACTTTGGAGTGGATGGAAGAATGATTAGACATATTTTGCCTTGCTCCGATGATAAAACCAGGGGCAATAGGCAGAAGTTATGGAGAAGAAGATTTCAGTTTATTCAAAGAAGTAACGATTAGGGTCTCTGAACAATGATACAAGCTGCCTCAGAGGTGGTAAGCTTCCTGCCACTGGAGAGGTTTGGCAAAATATGGACAACCCCCTGCCAGGAGAGTAGAGTCCTACAATGGAGACATATACCAAGCAAGGTGACCTCTAATGTATCTCCAACTCTAATACCTTTGGTTCTGAGACTTGGACCTGCAATATTTGTGCTGACTTCCTCACATTTCCTAGGGTGCCCCTACCCCATTGCTGCCTTTTAATCTTCACTAAATCACTAGGTTCAAAAAACAAAACCAGTAAATACA